CAGACGACTGAGAACAGACTACAAAAGACAGCAGTTTTACTGTAACAGTTACAGTCAAACACAGCCGTACCTAAAGGGCAATAAAGCCAAAGTCACTGTCACAGCAGCAGCAGCAGCTTAGCAAAAATCTTAGAATCTTAGGGCAAAGAGCGAGTCGGAGAAGGCGCCGGTGGGGCTGGTGGTAAAGGAAAGAGTGAAGATGAGTAAAAGCAGCCTGGTGGTGAGGCAAATTGGTGGTGGTGGCTTCATGGTGGTCGTCAATCAACACACAAAGGACAGAATGAAAGTTTAATAGTGGATAGAGGATAGAGCTTTAATATGAGCAGGTGATTAGCAGGATGCTTTGCTGATGCTCCCGCCGATGCTGCCGATGCTGCTGCTACACTTTCCGCCGGTGCGCGCTCCATCAGCTCTCCTCTTCCATTTTCATCCACGTTCCATCTCCCTCACCAAAACCTGAAAACACACAGTTTACTAATTAGCAATTAGGGGCTACACAGTTTGTGGCATTTTAGGCAATGCGCGCACAATAATGCAAACGAGATGGCCAAATAGTAAGCGAGTAAATGGTACGTACCGAAAGATGATGATGATGATGATGATGATGAAGACAGGGCAGGAAAACAATTAGCCACGGCTGACTGGAGAAATGTAACTGGCTGACGGGGTAGTGCTGCTGACGAAAGCTATTTAGGGTGATGGTGGTGGTGATAGTGGTGGTGATGATGTCAGGGCGAGGATGTTCCATTTTTGGGTGAAGAAGACGTCTTGAGGACCTCCTGTTTCGCCCCTCCCTTCACCATCTTCCTCACCTTGGCCAGACTGTAGAGCAGCGACTTGGCGAGGCCGGCGGTGAGGAGGCCCTTCACCGACTGCGTCCAGCTGGAGCGAAAGACAATGGCCGCTATGGCCGCCTTCAGGTAGCTGCGGTAGGTCAGGTCAAAAGCGAGTCGCCGAAGAAGGTCATCCAGGTCGAGGCGCTCCAGGGCGCTCTTTCGCAGCGTGCTGGAGGTGNTTGGCGGCCAGCCACTCCCGACACAGCCCGTGCTGGACGGTCTTCGGTAGGAGGTTCAGGTGCCAGAGGGTGGCCGTGGGGCTGGTGTTCTGGTGGTAGAGGCCGCTGGCCGGCGACCAGGAGACGAGGTCCTTGAGGAGGTCGCTGGCGAGCAGTGGGCCGTAAAGCGCCCGGAAGGCGGCCACCTGGGGGCGGACAATCTTCGCCACCTTGT